AGTTTAGTTAGTAGTTACTTTACGTTAACTTAACTTACCTAAACCTAACCTACTACTTTAACGTTAAAGTAAAAGTAAAGTTAATTAATTAATTTACTAGTACGATAGGTACGTCTCTCTCTCTCTCTCTCTCTCTCTCTCTCTCTCTCTCTCATGTGAGGATATTGTTCCGTCTTGGTATGCATAAATAAAGTTCCAAATGGCTTCTATTTACCTGTTTATTCACAATGGTCAAAGTTGGTTTCTGTTTACCTGTTTATCCACAGGTCAAAGTACCTCTAATTGTTCTCGCTTCTCAACACTTAATCTGGGTAACCTAGAAATTTTCAATATATATATATATATTGAGGATCAACACTTAATCTGGGTAACCTAGAAATTTTCAATATATATATATATTGAGGATGTACCTGATTGATAGAAAAATTTAAAAATATTATCTCAAATGTAATTTGTCTTTATGGAAAAATAAATCTTTTTAATTTGAAGATTGCTAAATTATTATTGGACATTGAATATTTTATTTTTGAAATTTAAAATTCTTTTTGGAAAACAAATTTTAAGCATTTGTACATCTTGTCACTGCAATCAAAATATTAGGACTTGCATTGCGCGTGCTTCTTTATTGGTAATAATCTTTAACCATGGCCTAAACTACTTATTAGAACCATGGATTTGGGATTGGACTTGTTAGGGTCCTGAGACCGAGTGACCCGGTCCATATAAAGGATACGGGCAAGTCCTCAAATTCTGTCTTAGGGCTCACCAGGGGTCATTGATCCGAGCCCACTAGGAAGACTTGGGACTCTTCTGAATTAGATTGAACTTGCAGGTTTGATTGGTAGGATTAACCAGTGCCTTGTTGATTTGGTCTAAAGCAAAAGTCGTAGTTGGTTAAAAGCTCAAAAACGATGTTTAGTTGGTTTTGATTTGTCGTATCATCATTTTTTACTAGTTAACTGACTAAATGAAGTTTGAGAATTGTTTTATAATATATGTCATATTTTTAAATTATTAATGAAAAAAATTATATTAAGGTACTCTTATTTTGAAGTTGGAGCTTACAAAAAAAAAATGGGAAGAGGGTGAAGGTGTTTCGTCCAATTTCTCCAAAAATTGAAGAGTAACACAGTTATTTACAGGGGGCGTTGCGAGAATCGAACTCGCGACCTCTCGCACCCAAAGCGAGAATCATACCACTAGACCAAACGCCCATGATATGGTATTGCTTCAAAGATAATAAATATAATACATATATCCTTTCTCTAATAACCCTCACATGAGCACAAGCCTCTTTCTTATAACGGTGTGGTTTGGCTAAGGCCGAGGCCCCCAACAATCAAAGTGGCGCACATTCAAATGGTGCTCAAATATGTTGTTTCAGTATAGAAATCCTTAATAATAGCTTGAAATTTTATTTTCATCTCTAATTATAAAATTGAAAGTAAAAAATAGAGTAGATCGAGTAGATTTATGAATACTTGAAGTCTTGAAAATTTACAGTCTAGATAACCATTCTGACATGCACCATGTTCAAGACTCGAAAGCTGTTTTTCTCATGTTCATACATCTTGAGGTCGCGATGATTGAATTGAGGGTTTTTAAACATCAAAATAACTTCTTCTGATGAATTTTTGAGGTGTGCCTTAATTTGGTTGTTTAGGGCCTCACACTTATATAAGCTTTTTCCATCTTACAATAGTCGAAATGGTTATAATCTATCACCTCTCTCTCTTTCTCTGAGAGGAACTTTCTTAAGTCACTTATTTGGGCCATAGACAAGGAAAACTTGTTTTATTAATTGTAAATTTTAGGAATTAGTCTTCATTTTTAAGCCCGACAAGAGCACAAGCCCCTCTGTTACAATGTTGGTCCTAATCAACCCCTCTCTCTCTCTTTCTACACGATCTTGGTGTCATCCGATGTAGTTCTAAATGATCCTCTTCTGTATCATTCAAAACTCAACCATTGGACTCCAAGAGACGAGCTATTTGCTCGCCTTCTCCATCATGCAACTCTAGGTTCACCTTAGGCACATATCCATTCTCTCTCATCATCCCGACCAATACATCGAGCTCTTCGTAAATCCTATCGCACTCCGGATGGCTCCGGTCTGCCATCAAGAACACGTGGACCCCGCTTCGAAGCTCGATCCAGCTACACCCCGGCGTCTTGGCCACCCCGTTACGCCTCATGGCTCGACGCACCTCCGAGACATCTTGATGGCGCCCTTGCGCCATATACATGTTTGATAATAGCACATAGGTGCCACAATGGCTAGGCTCAAGCTCTAGGAGCTTAAGGGCCACCTCTTGACCCAGGGTGACGTCGTTGTGGACCCTACATGCACTGAGTAGGGCACGCCATACAACGGGATTTGGCTCCAATGGCATCTCTAGGAGGAGCTTGTGGGCCCCGTGTAGGTCCCCGGCTCGACCTAACATATCGACTACACAAGAATAGTGCTCTATCGTCGGGTTGACCCCATAGTCCACTTTCATTTGAGAGAAGTGGTCCATACCGGGCCCCATGAGCCCCGCTCGACTACACGCCGAGAGGACCCCAACTAGGGTGACCTCGTCGGGCCTCACGCCAATGCTCCTCATACGCCTGAACAAATCGAGGGCCTCTTCACCGTTGCCATTCATCCCATACCCCATGATCATGATGTTCCATGACACCACATCCCCGTGAGCCATGGTCTTGAAGACCTTCCGAGCCTCGTCCAAGCTCCCGCACTTGGCGTACATGTCCATGACTGCATTGTTAGCATAGACATCATCTTTCTTCAATCCGGTCGCTATCATGTATGCATGGATCTCTTTGCCATGCATGATGGCTGCGAGGCTCGAACAGGAGGGCAACACTGTGGACAACGTGATGGAGTCAGGGCTTATATCGCCGGCCCTCATGCGATCAAACATGTGCAATGCTTCCTCGTGTTTGCCCGCATTCACATAGCCCAAAATGATCGAATTCCAGGAAAATAAGTCTCTCTCAGGCATTTCTTCGAAAAGTTTTCGCGAATCATCCATGCTCTTGCACTTTCCATACATGTCGATCAAAGCATTACACACGACCATATCGGATTCGAAACCAAGCTTGCGAACACAGTCGTGAATCTCTTTTCCTTTATCCAAGTCCCCTGTTGCTGCAAAAACTGACAAGATCCCAGAGAGCGTAAACTTACTGGGTTCCATCCCTTCTCTCTCCATGAGCTCGAACACCTCCAAAGCTTCATCAAACCTCCCAATTTGGGCATAACCAGTGACCATGGCATTCCACAAAACAATATCTCTATGAGTCATTCCATCGAATACTTGACGAGCATCGTCGCAGACATCAAATTTCAAGTAGAAATTGATCAAAGAACTACCAATATATACATCTGAATCCAAACCCAAGTGAATCAAAATGGCGTGGACATTTCGTCCTCGACCCAATTCGGATGAGTTGGAGAAGGCCTTGAGGGTGCAGGGGAAAGTGAATTTGTCAGGAATTAAGCCCGATTTCCACAATTCTGCATAGGCTTCGATGGTTTCTGAGAAGAACTCATGAGCCGAGAGGCCAGCCATAATTGCATTGTACGCGAAAACGTTTCGATCTTGGGTTTGATCGAAGACGAGGCATGCTTCATTCAAGCAATCACACTTGGAATACATATTAATAAGACTAGTAGTAATTGAAGGGATCTTTTGGAAGCCATGGATCAAGACTAATGAATGGATTTGTTTGCCTCTAGAGAGATTCTTTCCTTTGGCACAGGCTTGGAGAAGAGAGATGAAACTTCTCTCATTATTTGTGAGAACACTGGTTGAAGAGAGAGAATTTGTGGAAAAAATTTGGTGGGTTTTGGAAGAGAGAGAAAACGCAGGAAGATAGTAGTTCTTTGGTTCTGAGGGAAAAAAATGGGAGGTTTTGGAAGAGAGAGAAAATGCAGGAAGATGGTAATTCCTTGCGGCTACTTTAGAGAGAGAGAAAACAAAGCTCATTTGGCGACGTTGAAGAGTGGTAAGCCAATATGCACCTTCTATAAACGGGCACTTTCACCCAACGGCTTTGCAATTCAAAACGACAGTGCATGGTGTGCTCCCGCTGGAATACATTGTAAATCTACTCCCTCAGCTCTATCTAATACAAATCAATCAAATCAACAAGTGGATAGTGTTATTCTATTAGTGAATTGCGCTCCTATGGGCGCATACTATACATTTATTCCTCGAGCAAAACACTTTGGAGGATTTTTTTTTATCTCAAATTTTGGTAACCACCTAATAATTAGTAGATGACTGTTTGTAACAACCTAATAATTAGTAGATGACTATTTCCAAAAGAAAAATTTTGGATTTGGAGATACGTAACACATGGGTCTTACCCTTCAAGTATTGAACGGCCTCTATTCAATCTTAAGTTATTATTTTTCTCAAGCATATAAAGTGTCATCTAGATAAAATTTTGTTGAGGTTATTTGACGAGTTGAAGATGCTACATTCAAAAAATTTCAGGTCCTAAAATTAAAAAATGCAGAACGAGAAATGCAAAAAAGAAGCAGTAAAAGAGAATGACATGGGGCTTTTGGCAGCAGTGTTGCCTAGCTTCATGATGAGGTCTCTTACTCCATTCTCACCAAATGATTGGTGCTCAAATCCCCACTAACTTACCAAATATTTTGAGAATAGTATGAAGCCTCGACGGTAGTATTATCGAGTCCCATGATGAGGTCTATGACTTCATTCTTACCAAAATGTAGAAGCCCAAATCCCCATTGACTTACCACTTTTGAGAATAGAGTTGGGTTGTAGTGGTAGCACCACTTGTGCCCCAACTAAAATCTAACTTCCATTATCCTCTAACACATTAAAAAACCCTTCATGATTTCGAAAAACAAGTAGGGGGCTCAACATCCCCACTGAATTACTAAAAAAACGAATAAGAATAAAAGGAGGCAGCAAATACAGCCGTACGGATATGCATCTTGATTTTTTAAATTAATTTTAGAAGAGCCAGGTTTTCCCATTTTGAAATGAAGCACTATCCATCATTCAACTTATGAACGGTGGATAAAGCCAAGGAGTCAATATACAATCTACGCTTGCAAGAGCACAACATCGACCAGCATTTCAAAATTTTGACTAAATAGATATTCTATGGGTGGCAATGGATCCCAAGGGACCCCACGGTAGGCCACACCTCGTCTTGGGGCTTGAAATTTTGGATCCAAAAGATCGGGTCTGGGGTTCAAAATAGGCTTGAATACTATTCAGGTTTAGATCTAGGTCTAGTCAAACTTGACCCAGACCCATACCCAAATAATGTGGGTATTCATAAAAATATTGCCAATACATTTGTGTTTTTAGGAATTTCCACTTACTAGGTAAACTAGTAAAGAATGTGGGTATACATGGGCATTCATAAATATTGTACAGTATTATAAATGTTACCAATAATAGTGATATATGATGGTAAAAAAAAGTGCGATTTGTATAGAGCCGATCTCTAAACAATCAAATTAGAGCCTAGCTGTGGTTTCAATACTGGAAGTTTTTGTGATAGCCTTAAAATATATTTTTATCTTTAATTATAAATTTTAAAGCTTAAAAAATAGTGTAAATCGAGCAGATCTATAAAAACTTGAAAATTTTGAAAATTGACACTCCAAAAATTCGTTACATCATGCATTATTTCCAAAACATGAAATCCATTTTTTTCTCTTGTCCACACATCTTGATGTCGAGGTGGTCAATTTGAGGATATTTGAGCATCAAAACAACGTCTTCTAGTGAAAATTTTGAGGTGGGTTCAAATTTGATTGTTTAGAGCCTCAGCTCTATATAATTTTTTTTCAAAAAAATGAAAAACTCATAGTCATAGGGTGGCAATAGACACGACCATCTGGGACCCGACAGGTAGACCCGACCTCGGGTCCAAGTATGGGTCCAACTTTTGGACCTGAGAGGTCGGATCCGGGTCCAAAACCTGAGCCCAAATACCATTCGGCCGGTTGCCACTCTACAGGGTTCCTAAATTGTTCGTTGCAAAAATATCCAAAGTACTCATATTCCATAGGGAATGTCCATTTACATACTCATATTTCATAAAGAATATACATTTACCTTTTGTACAAAGAGGTCACAATTTTGATGTGGAATCTAATAACTTAAACGTCACAAAGTTCGAAAAAAAAAAAATTGAACTTTGAGCTTGGTCAATGAAATAAATACAGCCACCTAAGTTTACATCCAATGGTCTAGATTATTTGTGACCACCTTGTATTCCCTATTTTATATTTCAATAATTTTTTAGTGCAAATAAGTCGAAATCAATTTTAGCTGGCAAATATAAATTGGGTAGCTATCCCATTTGACTTAAGATCAAAAGAAAAATTTTCATACTTCGTAACAAACCCAACTATTGAATCTCACATTTGTCACCTATAAATAATTTGAGACCTCTTTATGCTAAAAAGAATACAGTTCCTATACTGATGACTATTATATCCGCATCGGTTAAAGAAGGAAAACCAACGATTAAAAACACCCTTCCATAATACATAGTTCCATACTAAAGTGCCCTTTGCGTATAAGGGGCATGCCCCAGCATACAGAGACTAAAGTGGTACGCTCCAGTGATGCAAGGTTCATTAGAGAAGGATACTTATAAAACGAGACTGCACCAAACTACCCTATTCGACCTATTGCACCATCAACCAATGTCTTGGCTTATCTAATCTAAAACAAAAACTGACTTTAATCGTAAATCGGATAAAATTAATATTTGACCAATTGTGACTTATCAAACTGGCCAGTTTTAATTGGTGGACAAATTGGTGAATTTTTTTAATATATTTTATATTTTTAAAGTATTATTTTTCTTATTATTATTTTTTTAAATATGATCCAATCAATTCAAACAGTAGTTCGACTAGTTTTAATATGACCAAGCCCCTATCCATATTAATGTCTAGTCCATTTCAAGTAGCATTAATAGAAACGAGGGGGAGGGGAGGGAGCAAACGAACACTCGAAGTGCTTTCAATTGGGAAACAAACTTAACAAAATTCTTTTAATCTGAAATATGATGGACAAGAGTGTTGTGACCTCCCTGTATCAAAAGTACAAGGTCTTTTTCCAAATTTAAATGCAGTAAATTTTCAGAACTGTCTGAAAATTACTAAAAAAAAGTTTTAGACGATCTTGTTCCTCTAAATTTATGGGGGTTTCAATAAAGATGTCCTACATGCATTCACATTCAAACGGTAACCAATATACTTTGCTTAAAATCTTCATTTATATAGTCCAGTGTTTCATTACAGTTAAAACAGAACCAATAGCTAAAATTAGCAATAATAGAGAGAGAGAGGCAATAATACAGCTGCAGGAAGACACAGAATGATGAAGTATTTACAGAGAGAATTTATGATATTTACAGTCACAAACCAACCCAAGAGAGAGAATTCATCTGAAGCTGGAGATTTGAAAACTTCCTTTAAGTTTCCTCTTTCTCTTTCCATCCCCACAATTATGCCCCAGGCTTTGCCTTACTATCAGTATTCAGGAACCGGAAATACTCTTGTTGCGTCATCTGCCCTCCCAACAGTGCATCAAATGAGCACCTGTAAAAGCTGGAAATAAAAGGGAGAAAAAATTAATTAAGAATACTATTCAACAAATGCAAAAAATATATATTATGAGAGAGAAATTGTATAGAGAAGCTTTACCTCCCGTCCATGCCGACAATTAAGACTGTGCTTTGGGCCCCAAAAGCCACCAGAAAGCGGGTGTCAACTGGTAAATGGAACTGAGCAAATGACCACTCAGAGCTGAAGTATTTCGGTAGAACCCCTGTGCATTTTTTAAACCAGTTAGATGAAAGCAAACAATCTAACAATTTGTCTGCCTGTCCCCCGCCCCCCTTTCCTCTCTCTCTCTCTCTCTCTCTCTCACACACACAATGTTAGCAGAACCATTAAGAAAAATTTGCAAAACCTACCCAAACAAAAACCATCTAGCAACCTCTAATTTGCTTTTCTATGAGAGCTGAAAGAAATTAAACTCGTTATATTGGTTCAACTGAAGAAAATACCGATATGAAGAAAAGAAGAGCATATTAATTACTTTTTAAGATCATAAACCCATAATGTGCGAATGGAAATCATTTTTTAACAAGCAAATAGTTGATATCACTGTAGAGAGACAGAGACAGAGACTTACCTTTCATGAAGGCCAAAGAAGAACTCTGGTTCGCCCCAGTGTTTGGAGAAATAAGAGCATCAACTGAAGTCGAAGAGCTCTGGTGAGTTAAAGCTGGACCCTGACCATTATTTGAAGAATCTGAGGAAGAATCCTCTCCAGCCACCCTAACTCTGAGACTGAATATATGGACGGTCCCTTTATCACTAGACACTGCCAACCATTGCACTTTTGCAGAGAGAGCGATGCTATAAATTTCAGCCCTATCCACGCCCCGGCGCACCTGAATCAAATAAAAGTTGGCATTAATATCAGGAAAAAAAAAGATACTATGATCCCTATGGTCATCATAACAACAGTACATTAGGTTTATTTATAACCCAAAAGAATCAAACCATTTGGTTTATCACCATCCATTCTATACTTGGATGGTGATGGCGGGAGAGTGGGGATGTAGAATTAAATTACTGACATGCTTGGTGAGACTGGGGTCCCTTACATAGCTGCTCCACCCATTGAATGGATGGTGGCAAACCAAATGTTAATTGTCCTTGTCACAACCATACAATTAATGTGTTCTGCATGTGCTTTACATGAAATTTGGTAATATAAATATAAAATAAATGAGATTGCATACAATGAGACCATTTACTTTTGGTACAAAGGGGTCATAATTACTTATAACCATCCGATGTAAAATTTGAAAGCTTGAATATCTCACAAAGTTCAAGAAAATTTATTTTAAACATTGAGCTTGGTCAATGGTCGAAATCAATTGTGACCACCTTGTATCGAAGGTAAATGGCCTCATTGTATATTTTTCCAAAATAAATATAGGTTCATGTACAGAAGGTGGGCCACTCTCTCTCACTCTCTAGAATCCATTTTCATCCCCTAAATTTTCTTTAAATTTTGGAAGTTTCTCTTGGAGATATGTCCACATATCTGATTAGAAGTTCATATCACTAAGTATTTTGCATCTCTTTCGGAAATCTGTCTTACACCATCTCCATTTCTGATTTCAAATGGAAGACATTTACTTTCTTATTCAAATAGATAGAAAATAGAGGTAAAGACAGATTTGATTTGAAAGGAGGTTTTAAGTTTCTTAACAACAGAAAATATATAGGAAGAGATAGATTTCACTGCAGAAGAGGGAGACGTAACATCATGCTCTATCACGACAAATCCTAAACTTTCAAACTGCCTTACTCTGAAATCCTTCTCTCTCTTGGTAACCCATTCTAAGCTCTCTCTCATACTAAGACTCCAACTCCCATAGAGTGACACGGACCTAGCACCAATTGTGGCTTTATATATGCACAGTTTATATGGACCTGTTAGTATATTTTTCTTCCTGTACTCAAATAGCAAAGGGAGAAAAAAAAAAGGCCGCTAAACTTAATGTTTTTCATGACAAACAAAAAGAACGAAGAAAAAAGAGGTGTCCTCAAGTATTCAGCAGAAAGGACAAGTTGGCCTTTGGCCCTAGAACAGACCTTGCTTTATTTAACGGAAATGAATTGTATTCCTTTTTTCTTTCTTTTTCTGATTCTATAGTATTTGAAGGAAAGAAAGTCATCCAAGTTCTCCTATGGGCCACATTCCCACAAATATGAGACATCTGAGGGCCTTAAAGTACAATTGAATTTGTTGTTAACTTCGTTGCCTACGAGGAAGATCGCCAATCAGACTATTTCAAATTCCACCTCTCTAGTCTGCGGTTTATTTCAGAAAAAAAAAAATGTATATTTCAAGGTAGTTGTAGATGAAGGTAACGTCATATCTGAAAACAGAAGTAAGGGAGATGAACATGACTTCACAGAATGACACCCAAAAAAATTGCATTGCCCACAGAACTGTGTAAAGAGTACAAATTTTTTCTCACGAAGCATGGCATAAAATATATTGGAAGAGCACATGAAAAGTCCATTCGAATTTCCCAAAATATGACGATAGTGGAATGTTATTTGAGCTTAAAAAAAACAGAAACAAAGGAGGAATGTATGCAATATAAGTAGTTGACAGTTTTGCTAAAAATATTGTATAGTATGAGACCATTTACTTTTGGTACAAGGAAGTCACAATCATTTTTAGCCATTGGATGTGAAATCTAACGAATTGAAGGGTGTCCCAACATTCGAGAATGTTATTTTGGACTTTTTGCCTAGTCAATAACACATTCCCAACCACCGGATTTCACGTCCAACAGTCACTAATAATTGTAACCTTCTTATATCAAAAGTAAACGGTCTCATTGTATACATTTCCTTTGCTTACTGTAGCTCCTTATTAAACAAGAACCAAGATTTTTAAAGAACTCACAATTTTCTATGGCAAATTGGCTTGAGGTATTAGGTTTGCACACTAAACTGAAGTAAAAGCATCTCCTTCTGATCTCAGAAAGGTAACAAATCAAAACAAAACACCAAAAAACACACAAAAAAAAAGCAGAATCATGATGCATAAATAGCAACAACGCACATACATGCTGAAAGTCTTCATTGATATCGAATAATTAAAAACAGTTCAAAAACATAAAAAAGCACAAAAGAGAATTCATCGAACTACTTCCGGAATATTTCCTGAAGGTTATTGATGGGACTGAGAACTGACAAGTATATGCATACATAACATAGCAACCTAACCAAAAGCACAAACTACAATTCCCTTCTTGATTATTCAAAACAGGTAGTTAAGGTACCCATTATGCAGAACTTCAGACAAACTACAAATATTCACTAGATGCTTCACGTTCAAACTACTGTAAGAATAATTCAAAGAAGAATAAGGCCCTGCTCAGATGTCAGTAGTCATATCAAAGAAATAGTCCTATTTACTTTATTAATCCTGAAAAGCTAGAGTCAGTTTTTTTATGAATATTAAAAAGATTTCATTGATCAAAATTGTGGGTACAAGTGTAGGAACTGTACTTTATGGAGTCCATACACCTTAGACACTAAGTATATAGAGAAAAATTATAGTCACAAGCGTTCATAATCATATTAAAGAAGTTCCTTTTTTGGGGGGAAATAGAGGAAAATTACATTCTTGTTCTTCTCAGGAAAAATTGCAGTCAGAAGCGGTCACAATCATATTAAAGAAGTTCCTTTTTTGAGGGGAAATAAAGGAAAATTACATTCTTGTTATTCTCATGATAGGACACAAGAAAATAGAACCCCCTCTGTAGAGCTAAAGAGGGATTACCCAATTTATAACAACAATACCCTTTAAGTGAATTATATAAACATGACAGACCCAAATTATACAGTCTCTTTCTCTCTCTCTCTCTGTCTCTCTCTGTCTCTCTCCAGATCACTTCAACCCTCTCTTATTCAAAAAATTCCTCTCTCATTCAAAACAATTAGAGCGAGTGTAGCAATTGATTGCAGCAGGAAAATTGATTCAAAGTCTAAGCTTTTAACCAGAAATAGAATCATGGGTTTTCACTAGTAGGAAATCAGGACCTGAGGAGATTACTGTTACTGTGATAGTTAGCAATTTATCAGGGAGAAAAAACCTTGTGAAACCATTAAAAATCGAATGACTGTTCAGAATCACTGTCACATATTATTGTGAAAATTACAGCCTAAATCCAGTCTAAATTCAATTATTATCACAAATTACATGGGCCCCTTCATGGTGGGAAATTACTTGAAGGGGTTTCAGGGAGAAAAAAGCTTGTGAAGCCGGTACAAATCAAATGTCGGGATTTTTAATATGAAGTGGCCCATGAAATTTACCTTAGGGGCCTGGTGACAAGTGGTCCAAAAGGTAAGCTCCCCCATGAATAGTTGTGTGCCACGCTGGCACTTGTCACTCTTTAACCAGTGTAACAAAAAAATAATGCTATACCTAAAATCGTGTGCGGTCGTATGAGGCTTAAGCTAACATGAATATAAACCACTCAATGATAAAAAATACATTATAAAATCATAGATTGAACATCAGCAACATAAACAAATAAAGAACAAATTAAAAAAAAAAAAAGAAAAAAAAAAAGACATGATACCTCTTGTAGGCGAGTTCCATCCATGGTGTTGAAAATTCTGATCAATGTGCCCTTTGTGCTAGCAGTTGCAAGCAAAAGCCCGTCCAATGTTAAAGTGAAGCATGCAATATGAGCATCATGAGCATTAATAGTCTTTGTTCTCTTCAAGCCAAAGTGTTCCACCCGAACCTCCCCTCGATGCAAACCAGGACAAGCCAATACAAAGGTATTTGACTGATAAGATAAATTGCACAGCCCCCTTGGATTCGCAAGAGTCTCTATCTGGTGAAGAAGCTTCAAATCCGCAAAGTTATACACATAGATCTTGTGCTCTAGAACCACAACAATGCGGTCTCTTCTCAATTTCACAGCTCGAACCTCTGATCTAAATGAGAGCTCACAAATACACCGGCTTTGATGATCATCCCATATCATAACTTTGTTAGGTGGGTACTGTGGGTTTTCCCCACCTCCTACAAGGGCCAAGATGTTGCATCGGAAAAGCATCTCTACAATGCCAAAACCTCCATTTTTCAAATCCCTCCTAAAAGTCTCCTTGAAAGGGTCACAATTATATATCCTGAAACCTCGGTTTGTCCCAGCTGAAAAGCATCCATAGTCCTGATTCCAAGACACCGATAACAATTCCACATCCTCATTGTTGCTAGACTCTGGTTCAGATTGATTGGGAGTGACACTTAAACCTGATGAATGTTCGTATGAGCCGAGTCGGTTGGGAGGGTGGATTCCCCTAGATGCAGAGACAGTCGTGCTCATGGGTGGTGAAACAGTGGCCATCAAATCCTAAAGAAATCAACTTCCATAGAAAACAAGACCCGACTTGAGGTTATATCGACACCTATTTCTGTTCACCACATGCAACATAGGGTCGAATTGATCTCAACAAATGTAATAACATAATGATTATAAAAAAACATCATGATGTATCAACCACGGGTGACCATGAGTACACACAAGTAATTAAACAATGTATAGAAACATGACTAATGACAAACAAACACATTGAAACAGAAATTATACAATATAAATCACTATGCATTGTAATGTACATGCATTAATTTACAAGTGTAATGTACATGCATTACTAGTGTAATGTACATGCATTAATTTACAAGTGTAATGTACATGCATTAATTATATTACTCTGTGTGTGTGTGTGTGAGAGAGAGAGAGAGAGAGAGAAAGATAGAGAGAGAGAGAGAGAGAGAAGATAGAGAGAGAGAGAGAGAAGAGTAGAGAGAGAGAGACGAGTAGTACAAGTAGA